TTTTTTTAAACGGTTGCCATTAATCGATGAAAAGGCGCGAGTCAGGTACAAAGTTTCGAAATTAGTTTGTTAACAATGTGCTTCCACCTTAACCGCGCGAAATCTCGACAGCCATGGGGCATTTTCCTTCATCATCCTCCAGACTATTGCAGCTGTATGGAACCGATGTAGTTTTTAGTTTTACCCCGTGAATTCCGATCAGACTGTGATCTTTCAGTACCCAGAGGACACTTTCTCACCAACTCACCAGCTCTCTCGAGATGGTCCTAAAATAGTCCTTAATAGGGTATCGAAACTCTCCTGAAATGATCTCGAAAGAGTCCCGAAATGATCCTGAATAGGATCCAAATCTGTCGAAAAAGTCGTTAACCCGTCCCGTTACGATCTAGAATAAGTCCTTAAATGTTCCTGAAATGGTCTGTTATTAGTCCCAAGATGATCCCCAAAAAAGTCCCAAAATGGTCCTAAAATAGTATTGAACTAGGTACGAAATGGCACAGAACCAAATCCAAAATTAATCTGGACTAGGCCCGAAATGTTCCCAAAATAGTGTCGTAGGGGTCGAGAACTATTTAAAAATTGTCCATGACTAATTAAAAATGGTACTCAAATAGACGTGAACTAGTTCCGAAATAGGCCTAAACAGATCCCGAACAAGCCGCGAAATGATCCGGTAATAATCCCAAACAGGTCCGTAATGACCCCGAACCAGTCCTGAACTAGTCCAGAAATGATCATTTTTACACAGGAAGCAATTACAGATTTTCTGCTGGTTTACACAAGAAGCAGTTACAAATTGTCTGCTGGGTTAACGCAAATTTTACCCATACCGAGAGCTAAGATGTTTGCACATCAATGTCGTGAAGAACGCTACAGCAGCCAGGAAGCCTAAACTTGACGTTATTGATGGAGAACTCATGGGAATAGTCCCCCTCCCCCCGCCAACCTTTTCATCGAGCTCATTATGAGGGCCGTGGCAACCTCATCGAGCTCCAAAATGCGTCAACTTTCTTCAAGCAGTATTGAATAGCGGATTTGTAAAGCGCGGGGCGGCGAAGTGATGTACAATGAACTAATCAATATTGCCTACGAATTTCTTTTTTACTGCGTCACTTTACAAAACAGCTTATTTTAAACTATACATATATATTATACACTATACACTATAAGTTCAGCAACTCCTTGCTTTTAAGCTGCAAATTCAACGAATCGAATCAATTAAGAGCAGGTGTGAAGTGTCAAAAACAGAATACTGAAAATGACTTTGAGAACACCTTAGCCATTATTTTAATGTTTAAATTGCTTTGACCACAAAATTTCATGGCAGGCAGCCGCAACACACATATTTCGTTGAATTTTCAAATCCATTACTCAATCACTGTTGTTTGAGAGCGAAAGGTTTGGTTGTTGTAAGAACACAAATATTTAGGTAAAGAAGAAATGCAAGTGCATACACGCAACTACACGCTGGCAAACCGGAGTGATGATAATAAATCAAGTGAAATTAAGACTGAATAGTGTAACAGCTGCTAACCTGTTTCGGCCATCCCTAATCACAACTACATACAAGCAGTGGAATGAAAGTGCAAAGGCAAAAACAAATGGCCGGTAAGCCTAAAAGTGTTTTTAAGTCAAAATTTACCTTTTATTGGAATATATACAGACATTATTCACCTACAAGCCTACACTTGTACGTACATTAGGGTGGTACAAAAATACATAAGGGCAAAACGAAAACAAATCTAATCAGCTGTTCTAGCAACACTACTCGTTGATATAGTTCTCGACTTTTTCGGCGTTATTTCGGGACTAGTTTGGGACCATTTAAAGCTCAGTTTAAGAGTTTTTCGGAATCATTTCGGTACTAGTTCGTGGCCAATTCGGGACCATTGCGGGACTAGTTGAGGACAATTTAGGGTCTATTTCGCGACTAGTTCGAGACACCAATGTTTACACATCAAATTTCTTGAGTACCAGACTCACGCTTGTTTATTATTAACCGGATAATATTTAACCATGCCGGCGGGGCTTTGAAGTTAGCAATGTATGTACATAAAAATTTTAAATAGTGAAAAAAACAAATTTTTTAGAATTGCTGTAAAATCGTTAAAAATAACAATTTTTTGATCAAGTAAAAATATTTCCCTTCAGAAATCTTTCAGCAATAGAATTATGATGTAAATTTGACTTCAAACTTTTACTAACTATTTTTTCCTTACACATAATCTTATCATTTATCTACATACAAATATAAGTTATTGTATGTGTTCGACATAAAAAGCTCAACGGATTTGTTTTTTTGCATTCTAACCGATGTTTTCTGTAGATCTATGGTAAAAAAATTAAAAGCAGTGTTGCCAGCTATTTGGAAATTTAAGACTATTTAAAGATTCAACAGAATAATTATTAAAACTAAAAGGCGTTTGAAAAGATTAAGAAAATGGATTTGCCACCATTCTGAAAAAATACAACAGCGGTTATTAAAAAAATTAGCTTATTTAATTCCACAATGTGGATATCAAACGGAATATTATACTTTCAAGTAGATGGCAACCCCATTTCAAAACAATTTTCTTTTATCTTTTCAAACGCTTTTATTTTCAATGTAGAAATTTTAATATACTATGTTGAATAGTTTTAAAATTTCAAATAGCTGGCAACCCTATTTTTTATTACAAACCCACAAAAAAACATCAGGTAGAATGCAAAAAAAAAATTAACAAATCAATTGAGCACATAAAATAACTAATTTTTGTATAGAGGACAAAGGTTAAGGGTTACGAAAAAATAGTTAATAAATTTTCAAACCCAAAATTGAAATATGCATTTATGTTGTTTTAAAGTTTATAAAATAATATATATTTTAGTCTATCAAAAAATATCTATTTTTAACGACTTTTTTTTTAATTTTATAATTTTTTATAATTTTATGTGGGATGGCTGGAAAACAAATTTTGGACCGCCCTAATGTAAATGCATATCTACATTGTCTACAGCAAAACTTACCATAAGAGCCGATGGGAACTAAAATCTAAAATACCAATTCAAATACGCACATGTAAGTAGGAAATACACAAAATGTAGGATTTATTTTTGTATCTTTGCAATATCAAATTTAGATTTTTCTGCTCTTAGCAGTTAAGAGTGCTGCAGTACCTTGAGTGGCGCACGGATTAACCAATTGTATTTACAAGTATTATATTTGTTGTTTACAATCGAACACACATTTGTCGTACTACATATACAAATATATATATATATATATATATATATATGTACGAGTATCCTCCGTATGTGCAGAATTTCGAGAAAGCCTTGTTTTCTGTCAACATTGTCAACATGCCACACTTGAAGATTGATGACATAGATTAAGCATTCTACGTTAAGTATTTGTTTCAACAAAATTCTGGTAGACCCTTCGGGCGGGTATTTATAAATATTTGCTCAAAATGCATGTACATTTGGTAAATTGTATTTAAATATTTATTATTAAGATTTTCGGTTTTGCCAAAATGTGGACGATCGTTCTGACACTTAAGCTGTTACTGGCCAACAAATATAATAATTGCATGGATAACAATGCGGTTGAATTTGATGGAAAATTTTGCTGGAGGGAAAATAAATATTTATTGCACTTCCTCAGCTTATGATGCCCAAAATCTCTACGCTCTGCGGCCGATATTTTCGCATATTTACCACAAGTAAATAACTTAAAATATTTTACACAAATACGTATGTGCATTTGAATAAAAGATATACACAACTTGCAGAGGATTAGATTTTGGGTAATCAAAATTTTTTTTTGTAGCATTAAAAGTTGTAAAATACGTATAAT